GGTGGTCCAAACCTTTTGGAGGAGGGAAGTTAGCTCCCGAACAAGTGATGGACCTCCATCTTTGAAAAGAGCCGGAGGGAGTTCGTCCGGGCCAGGGGCTTTGTAGCGCTTTAGGAGGCGAAGCTCATGAGCAACCTCAGCCTCAGAAGGTGGTGAAGCGTCTACACACCAGGGAGCACTACGGATTCCCGAATGAGGGATCACCGGTGCTGCAGGCCAGTTGAACTGCTGCTCAAAGTGCTCAGCCCAACGCACAAGTCGACGTTGTTGGCAGTGGATTCGCTCGCCATTGGTTTCGCACAAAACTTCGCTTACAGTCGGCCTTTTGCCGCCAGTGGATCGGATCAGGTGGAAAAGCTTTCGGAAATTCCCCGAGCTGGCTGCCTGCTCCATATCAACGACCCGTTGCGTCCACCAGGCCTCGCGGTTCTCCCGAAGGAGCTGTTTGAGTTCAGCGTTAGTGGTCCTGCGTAGTGAATAATACTCGGTCAGCTAGAATTGCCCCACGAGTTTCGAGATGTTGGAGAGATCGTGCAGAGACAATGGTTGAGAGGGCTACTGGTGAAACCACAGACCAGGGTCGCAGAGTTGTGCATGGTGATGTGGATGTGTGCCCAGTACGTTTCGACGTCAGAGCATGAGATGCTCTTGTAATTTGAGGCCAATACATCCTGAAACGCGCTTAGTGCGCTTGTAGTAAAAGGTTTGCCTATGTCAAACCGTGTCCTGCGACGCCGTTGGGAGCTACCAGATTTATTTGCAATCCTGTATGCAACTCCGTCAGTGATAACGGATGGCGATGTGGTCAATCTGCGTCTATGGCTGGCCAGGTGACGGAGGCCTCCAGGTCACGCGTTAGCGTCAGGATCGTCGAAGGATGGTACTCGACAGGCAGAGCTCCTGCTCGGCACAAACCTGAAGTAGACGATCACCGTTATCTGTTCTGTGATTGCTATGGCCATGTTGACCACCCAATTCACGCTCTTCAACCTCAAGTTTATCAACCTGCACGTTTAAGTCCTCTGCAAGCACCACGATTTCTGTACGGTGCTTTTTCCCGAGAACGTCGGACAGTTGACAGTGGAACTTGTCTTTAACTGACTCGGACTGCAGTCTGTGGGAGTGCATGCTGCTTCAACGAACAAGCTCTACGGCTGGAAAGACACTGTGGTCTCAAGTCGAATAATGCGGAATCGACCGCTGACAGGGATCCAGTCAAGTAACACGGCCTCAGCACATATGCTTAACGCAATCCTCACGCCGGCAAAACCTGCAGCTTCGGCGGTTTCATCTCCTGATAAGCGTGAGGTGAAAATGCCAGTGGAACTTGCAGACGGCGAAACCAGTCTTAGCGTCTTGATAGGGTCGTGTAATCGGGTTTCAGTGAGGCAGCAGGCATCAGTGCAAGCAAGGGCTGCTTGTGATCCGGTCTGCATCGGCGTCCGGAAATTAAAATTTGCCCGCTTGAATTGGGAACAGGCTGCTAGAAAATGTTTGTCAGTACTACTTGGCGGCACACCCTTGGCCCTAAATTTCTGATCCGTATAGCTAGAATACTCGCCCAAGGTGGCACGATGTTCTGGACTCGGAAACGGCGGGGGATTACCAAGGTTGGGAGAATTAAACAACCGCGGAATGAAGTGACCAAACTGTTCGGCCGCCAGCACTTCGGCTGAGGAAAGCGTTGTCAAAAAGCAGTGAGAGAGTGAGAGATCAGGAAGTCGTTGATACATTGGTCCATATATTGTGTAGGCATGCTGCTTCCCGGTCGCCCAAGCCGAGGAAGAGGGTTGACTTAGCGGACCCCACCCGGAGTTTTTAGTCCTTAAGTGCTCAAAGTGCTCAAAGCTGATATGGAATTATCTTTGTCATATTCATGTCCGCTGGAACCAGCTCACAACTACTGGAAAACTAACTCCGATGGTCTAACTCAAGCCGCGAGCCAACTGGATTGGCCTCTGTCACAAGCTGCATCTGTGGAAGACTGTTGGATATTTATAAAAGAGAGATTGTCAACATTGTGTTCCCAATTTGTGCCATTGAAATGTCGGAAGGTTGGACCGACTAAGCCTTATTGGTTTGACAAGCAGTATGAAAATCTGGCTCGGAGGCGGCGCAGACTGTGGGACAAATTCCTCCTCTCTGGCTCTGCCAATGATTACGAAGGGTATAAAAGGCAGCGGAACCTCTATAACAGTGCAAAAAAGAATAAGCGTTGACATTTCTAAGAGCAGATCGCAATAGCTGCGAAGACCGCCCCAAAGAGAATCTTTGCATATGTGAAGCGAGGCCTGAAGCCGGCAGGTGATGTGCCAGTGCTGGATGGCCCGGATGGACAACCCCTAACCTCCAGCACTGAGTGTGCGTCCGCGTTGGCGGCGCACTTCGCTTCTGTATTTGCAACTGACCAGGTGTCTGTTCCGAGTTCGAGGTGTATCGCTTTTACCGAACTCGACAGTCTGGATTGCGGCGTTGAAGAGGTATGTCAACTACTCGCCAACCTTGACGGTACCAAACCTGCCGGATCTGATGGGTTTCACCCACTGGTTCTCAAGTCACTTTCGACCATCATCTCTCCTGTCGTGACTGACCTTTTCAACAGGTCGCTGTCCGAAGGTTCGTTGCCGATTGACTGGAAATGTTCGGTGGTGAAGCCTATTCTGAAAGGCGGCGATCCTAGCAAAGTAGAGAACTACAGGCCAATTTGCCTAACACTTATTTTGGCAAAGGTTGCTGAGAAAATCGTGAAGAAGGGATTGCTGCAGTTGCTACAGTCAAAAGAGGTCCTGACGCTCCCACAGCACGGTTTTATGCAAGGCCGCTCATGCATTACGAACACGCTTGTGACGAGGCATGAGTGGTTGAAGGCAATAAGCAAGGGAAGTCTGTCGACGTGATATTCATCGATTTCAGTAAAGCGTTCGACAAGATCAGCCATGAGGTTCTCTTTCACAAACTCAGGATGTGCGGTGTCGGTGGCCCACCGCATCGGTGGATCCGCGACTTCCTTGTTGGACGAAAATGGAGGGTACAGGTCGACGACCATTTAACTGGTATCCATCTACAAGTTGCGTGCCTCAAGGCACTGTGCTGGGGCCCATTCTGTTCCTGATCCACATCGACGATTTAGCTCAGCTTCTCCGGTCGCCGTGTGCGTTGTTTGCGGACGACATGAAGATTTGGAGAGAAATCGACGCTCCCGACGACTGCGGCGTACTTCAGTAAGACCTCAACCGCCAATCTACACGGTCTACATCAGTTCATCTCCCGGTCAACCCAGCGAAGTTTGTATTTATGAGCCTGGAGAAGGGTGCTGACGGCCGAACCTACTCTTGACGGCTAACGGCTATATCCCACACCCTCTGTGAAGGACCTAGGTGTACTCTCGCGCCACGATTTGATGTCCATGGACAACACGAACAGGCTATATCGTAACGGACTGCGCATGCTTTGGGCGCTCAAACGTAGCTTCGGCACATGGTCTGAAGAGGTTGCCACTCGCGTCTTCTCTTCCATCATTAGACCAATGCTAGAGTACGGTTCGCCCACCTACTTTCCAATTACCCGAGGCGAGACACAAAAAATCGAACGGGTCCAACACGTTGCTACCAGGCTCATCCCAAGTTTAGGTGGCTTGGGGTATGAAGACCGGTGCGAGAAACTAGGACTCTACACCTTGTCCTACCGTCGCGTGCGAGTCGACCTCAGTATGACCTAGCGTATTTTGCATCTCGGTGACTACTCCATACTGAGGCCATGTTACATTTACAGGGGCCATGTAACACACGCGGACAGATACCAACTAGTCGTGCCGGATGTGAAGTGTGTTCCCCACCCAAAGTTGTGACTGCCAGGGGTGGAAAAGGCACCAAAGTAACTGAACCAGCCGACCACTCCCAGAGTCTGTTTCGTGAAAACTAGAGCTAGTGGCGTGTCGGTCCAGTCTCGCAGCAGTGCACTGCATTCTGGGTGTGTGAATAATGAGCTGAAGCATGTGATGTTAAGCAGCGGATTATTCAGAAATGATTAGATAGCCACTGGCGTGGTAAGCCACGCCTCCGGACTCGCGTTAGATAAAATTAGGTGGAACTTACCAGAGTACGCGTCCAAATGATATGCGTATCGCAGGATAGCATGATGAACCGAGTCGAAATTGACTTTCGAGGAGGACAACTGTGGTAAGCAGTCTGCATGTGTCAATGTTCCAACACTTAACAGAGAACAAATATGTGCTAAGGGGCGGAAACCAGCTTAGCTCTGTTGATCGATCTCTCACGAGGACCAGCCAATGGTTATGGAATGATACCTACGGCGACTCTTGAGGCAATGGAAATGACGCTGATATTTCCATGACTTTCGTACAAGGCCGGTAACCGTTTTTAAGGGTGAGGATGACGACTACCCTGCCTGGTATGAATAACCGTAAGGGTGACTTGGAAGTGACACACAGCCAAGCCCAACGGATAAATAAATAAATAGACGGTAGATTCCTCGACAGCGCGAGAAACAGTACAACTGGGTGGCAGGATTACAGAGGTACACAAATTATCGCACTACTATGAACTGGATGTAGCCGACTAGCAGTGAAGCCAGCTTCACTACCAAAGCTCGACGAAAGGGCCCGAAAAGATACATCCTCCCAAATGAAGCATTCAATACATGTAATGAACGTAAAAAATATTGACAACGTTGATGAATGAGTAACAGTGACCCATCCAACTTCAATGCTTTCTGGGTTCAAGGAAATGAACTCTGGTGACAATTCATAAAAAGGTGCAATGGACGAAGGCAGGAAAGCGTATAGCAATTATCCCTTACGACGTGGACCATGATGACTTACAGCCATAAGAACTGCTCAACGAGGCTGGTGAAGGATCCAACTAAAGATAGCTGAAAAATTTACAAGACTTTACCTATCATGTGAAGGAATTAGTAAAAGGAATAAATGGATAAATGAAAGGTCAGATAAGGCAGAGAATAAAGTGCACACCAGCGCATACCTCTCTAGATTAGCGTTAGTTGGCAAGACCGTTGAGGTGGAACACGAGACACTGGTAGGAGGTTCAGCTTCGGTATAGACCCCGACATCATTCTCAAAAGAGGCTCCATTGGGAAGAACCAAATTATCAACGGTTGACAGCGGACTAATGAAGGGCGGAATAGCACGCTCGAGTGGACTTATCATCTCTGCCAACGAAGGGCGCTTCGGTGACCGATTATTAAGGTCGACAACGCTCCTCTGAACAGGAATCGATTCGGCACGTTTGGTAGGTGGCGGATGCGAAGTTACTTGAGTAGGCAATGGGTGCGGCGGATCACCACTTTCCTCCATTGGTTTTGTATCATCCATGTCCTCACAATTTGCTTCATCCTCGCTGTCCGACAGTCTAAGATCTTCCACAAGCCTAACATATGTAAAAATGAGAACATAAGGATACATAACTAAGTGTGTATACAAATGAAGAAAACAGTTAGTTTAAATAAGGTCGAGTGTGAATCGAGCAAAATGGAAGTGCAAGATGATGCAGAAAAATGTGGTCTACTAGACAAGAAAGCGATCTACAGCTAAGTGCATCTGGAGGTTACCCATGGTAGCGATGATGAAGATGTCGGATGGAGCCAGGGATTAATTCTCTCAAACAAAGCAAAAAAAAACGAAAAACGAAAAGGTACGTTAACGTTGAGGGGTCACACCATTGGAAAACTAATGTGGATGATGAGACCATACTCAGCGAATGAGATGCTTATGTTAGATTAATAAAAATGAAATTCTCCTTTATGATGAAAGCACAAGTTGCGACTAGACGATGCATACATGGAGAGTACAGCTGTGCGGATAAACGTCATATGATCTCGCTGGTATGAAACAAGACTGCGGTTAAGCCACTACTCTGTTTAATGTCCATATAACAGCTACGCTGTCTTGCGCACATAATGAATGCGATAGCGGTGTTTATCTCGCGCACAACACCGACGGTGTGTGGCTAAATATTTATCAGTTCGAGGCGAGAACCCGAGCGCACGAAACAACCATCCAGAGGATGTTGTTTGCACACAAGGATAATGAGAAAACATGACGAAGGCTCTCATTTCGATGATGGGCAAGTTCGGACTCTATCAAAACAAGTAAAACTGTATTTTCCAACCATCACTAGCTGCGATCAAAGCCCGAATACCGAAAATTTTGGAAAACTCATCAAAATTTTGCTATCGCGAGAGCGCGCTATCAAGACTAGCGGATGATCAGCAAACTGTGCGCCGGAGTATCAAAGATGAAAGCCGCATTTCGCAGGCTGGAGCGTGTTTGAAGTAAATCAGCCTCTTTACCATGGTTGACGCATGCGGTAAGAGTCCAAAGATGTTAAGAAGTTTTACCACCTCCAGTCACCATTATCACCTTTAGGAACCCTTAGCCAATGAGGACCAGAAATAAACATGCCTGAAGAACTTCTTACCAGGCTCCATGCAATTCGCTGAGTTTTATGCGAGACGAGAAACATAGCACCTCCCTTCACCTACAAAATATCATCAATATAACGAGCCAGCGGCCACCTGAGCAAAGCAGCTGGAGATGGACGCATTCAAGATGTCCTTCAGGCTTAAGCAAATCCACAAATGCTAGAAGGAAAATTGCAGACAGAAGTACTGTTACCAGAAAAGTCCCGAATAGCATTAGACGTCATAAGATTATTTGAAAGTTCGTTCCGGAACAGATCGAATTTCTATGCAATCAGAAATATCAGGTAATACGGCGGCACTTTGACTTTAGACAGATAGTAGTGTCAAAAAAATCAGAGAATCATGATCATATGGGCACGTAAACGAGTTAGAAGAGATGGAGATTTCTACTAAGAAGCAAAAGCTGATAGTGGGAAATGGTCGAGTCACATCAACTGGCTCAGACAATGCCCTCTAGTAAATAAAGCAATATCGCGATGAACCCTGCTGAAATACTCTCGGATGAGTTTAAATCATTCACATAGTGTACAACCGCTCCGCTTATCTCATCAGATTGTGGATTTGGAAAGTGGAGAGACCGCTGCAGGGTTCCCATCACGTCAATTCAAGTCGACTCATGATAAACATCGTGTACAAGAGAAGGTTCCGTCATTTTGATCAGTCAACATGAGTAACTCCGAAACACAACGATTCAGAGCGACCGACTCGTGGCATTAAGGAGCACAATCCTGCCTTGTGATCCGGAGGTCGTGGGTTCGGGCTTGCCTAGGGAGTCGGCCAACCCACGCAGTATTCTCAGTCCATGTGGGACTGGTGATAAGTGCGCGACAGCGAAGAGCCGGTGCTGCGTAACGGCGTACTGCTGATGCCGTTTTTGATATTCAGTCAGGGTAAGGAAGCTACAGCTGATCCGAAGGAAGTAGTAGGGAGATTACACATTTAACTCGAGCCAGACGAAGGTATTCTTTTTCGAGGTGTAACGTCGTACAGGATCTGAAAACAGGATAAACTAATGTGTCTTCTACTTTATGAACTGCGGTCAAAATTACAAATTAATCAACGAAGGTCCGAAATGAATCTATTGCAAGTGATAGACAATTCTGGTCTCGTTGTTGCACATGTCCATCAAAGGCTGGAACGAAATCATAGTCATGAACAACAGTACATCCGCCATTTGAACTGAGGCTTCGCTGCAGTAAACAACGGTGCCCAACGAAATAAAGAAGGATAAAAAGGAGAGAAGGGGACTTAGTGTTGCGCAATGCCCTGAGCAAACACTCAGGGTCAAAGCGCCTACACCTTGTATCAAGAAAATACCGCCACAAACAGTTAATTATCGTGTAAGGATATAGCGGTATAAGCGAGACAGATTCCTAACGGCTTTCATTGCCCCGCGTCCCTATCAACTACTACCCCGCAGATAAATTAGTGCCAAACAGATTTTAAACAGGTGGTTCGACTAGGAGACGACAGCAGACACACCGGTGGCGACGACTGTGAGCCATGTAACGTAACGTCTTGAGTAAAGTAATCGGTGGGTCATGTGGACTCCAGGCTTCAGGGCGAGACGGACCACCGGTACCCAATTTTGTGAGCAGTGACTTCAATTCCTGTTGCTAAGTTATGGCAATGTGATCAATTTGGATCCATCGCTGGCCAGCTACAGGGGGACGAAAAGTGGCACTTCAGTGCCCACTGTCAAAAAGCGGTGCTACTGAGAAACAGCCGGTGCTCTGTGCACCGTTGTAATAGACGCTCACTGTCATCCGTATGGTCGGAGTTAAGTCAATATTACTGAAAAGTTCGGATGAGCAAGTTGTGTATTCATATCACCAGCAACAACAACGATATCCGAACTGGTAACACTACGAAGCAGCGTGTTCCGTTCGTAGCAGGTGCTCTTAATACCATCAGAATTACATTCGGTAGGGGGCCAAGCGGAAAACACTTCGTGTATCAACCCTAGTTGATCTCCTCAAACGCGCTGCACACAAACGACTGCTCAGGGGAATGCAACTAACCAACCAACAATGGCTCAGCCTTGGAGCTGAGAACGATACCCACCGGTGATGGCCACATCACCGTCTCCGGATGCGTACAACCAATGACGAGAGGACAAGCCGGGTTTACTGAATTCAACAAACCCGTGAGGATCAATGATCTCAGTTCCGAATATGCAACACATGTCAATATCCACGGTGTAAGACTTGCGCGCGAGTGCAGCCTGATGATCTACTTGTCTTAGAGAAGACTGAACTCCGCCAGGGAAACGGGACAGCGTGGCCTTACAAGGGGCTGTTTCCGATGGTATGAATCCAGCGACAATGCGGCTGCTGTCATTTAAGCTTGGAAGTATGAAAGGAAGGTTGGTCATGGGGGTCGGGAGGGAAGTAGGAGAAAGAGGTGACAAAGAAAGGAGGCGCCAGTAGTAGCTTTTTTTGGCTTATGCGCCCTGATGCAAGAAGCAGATAAGGCGACTTTTGGTAAGCTGCGTGACAGCCGATGCAACATGTGGTTGAATTCTGAAAAAATTGCCATGGTTGTAGATAGACTGAGATACTAACAGGGCGCCCATACCTAGATAGAAGAATGATTAGGATCCTCAACCAAAGCCCGTCTGCAAGGCAGCGTGGAGGTGGCAGTGATTTAGTTTTATAGATATAGACGTCATCCCATTTCCAACCCGAACCTGGAGGACCAAGAGACTGAGTTTGTATGGCCTCTAACCATTGACCAACCTAGTGGAAATAGCTCCCAAAGAGCCCGGCGGCACTACCCAGCATAGTTCGATGGGTCAAAGAGGTACAAAAACCGTCACACCATGTTAGGGTCCAGTCGCGTTGCGACGGCGGGAACGACAACCATCTTTGGTGTAAATGTTGCTTGATTGCGTCCGTGCTGAACTCGACCACAGTTGTGCTTCGTATGCTGTTAAGGTAGCCGGGGGTGTATCAAATTCTTAGGTTCAACGAGTTTACGAAGCGGATCGTTAGTGAAACTGATCCCGATTTTGGATGGAGATTAGAACTTGCGAGAAAAAGTGAAAGTTTCGATGGAATCGCATGGAAAGGGGAGGTCCAACGGTATAGTCATCGACAATGCATCATAAGAGTCAGCACGCGGTAATGAATTCCTTTATTACTCAAGGACCTCCAGTAACATGATGATGTGGGTTCATCCATCTACAGGGAACCAGGTACTTGGGTCGCCGGGCGTTTGAATTTGGGGGTGAGTTCAGTCACACTCTGATATCAAGTCATGAAGGCTGGGTCAAGTGGGAGAAAAGTTGTTGGGTAAGAAGAAATAGTGGGTGCAGTCAAACATGACATTCTGAAGTCATGTTTTATTGCTGCACACGCAAATAAGTGTCAAGTGTCTTTTGATTAGAAGTTTGCATGGTTAAGTGAAACATCGCAGCCAATAACTTAAGAATCCATCTTGAGTGGCGTAGGGTACTCACGAACAAGCAGCAGGATAGTATCACCAGGGGATTGTGATTGATAACTTCACAAGTGTACTATCACCGTAAATTGAATTCTAATCGGCTGGTAAGTTTGGTGATACACTGAAGCTCAGTAGATCCAATTCAACCGGCTACCCTATACATCTCTGTCCAACACCGACGGGAAATCTTCCGGAACAAGCTTTTTCAGGCATTTGAGCAAATAAGTTACGACAAAAAGCGGCGCTTGTTAACCCACAAAGGAACAGCATCGGTATATTGCTCATGCGCCTGAATTAGATGAAACATTCACTCTGGTAGCGGTACAAAGCGGCCAGTAGGCAGTTTCCCATCTAGGTGATCCAATTCAGCACGCAGCTAAGGTTGAATGAGAAAGCCCAGGGTATGGAAAATCAAATAAGTTTGTTGATCCGTGTTAGGCGGAATAATCGCTGAATTAACAGGAAAACATTGTCCCATCATTAATTGCAGTACAGATTTTGA